GGAGGAGATTGTAGAACATCGTGACTTATGGTGATGATAGGAGAATCTTTGTTAACACAAGTTGCTCTAGATTGATTAGCTTGGGCGTAACATTGATACCTAATGTCTTTGACATATCTAATAAGGTGTTCTTTTCCTTTGTAGACAAAATTTTGCACAACTTTGAGTCTTGACTCAACTTGGAAAATTTTTGTCTAGGGTTGAATCTGACATGGTCATCGAGGTGTGCCAATCATGAATGGAAGGTTGTGAGATGTTCCTTCAAAGCCTAGTTCCATGGAGACCCATGTGCAAAAATGTCTTCATGCTCAAACTTTAGTTGGGAGCTTCCTGGTTTGATCATCCAGACGATGTGGTCCATACAGATCAAGGAGTAAAACCTCAAGCACTTATGCAATCTTGTGATGAAAGAGGCGTAGATACTCCTCCATATTCAAGTAAGATAATCTTCATTGATCATCGCCTATGAGAATGAAGTTGGGGTTATCCTCCCCATTTGATAGCTCTTCATCAACTACTCTAAGTCTTCAAAAGCAAACCTAGTTGTTTTTATGGCTTCGCTTGGTGGAATAGTCCAGGCATAGTCCTCTAGATGTCTTGAGTATGGTTCCATTAGTGAGGTAGTGACATTCAGAGGTTCAACCTGAATTGCACTAGAGTTGGTAAAAGGGTTGTGCAATATCACTGGTTGTTCTAGCAGATGTTCGAATAGTCTTTTCAATAGGCAGTAAGACTTCTCTAGTACCTTCATAAGGTTCCTCAAAAGGAACAACATATTCAACAACTAGTGCGGTAGATGCTAGTGGAACATTTTGGACTTAAGACTTTTTGAAATACAGTGAAGTAGTAAAAGCTTTGACAAATGGACTGTTGAAATGCAACAAATAAAGGAACATAGATCTTTTATACTAGTTTGTCACAAACACAAAGACTCCGTCCAGTTCTCAATCTAACTAGATTGAGTTTCACTATCTTTTATACTAGTTCGTCTCAAACACAAAGACTACGAAGTATAATAATGCTTAATCGGAGATGCATTTCAAGTTAAGATGATTTGTAACGAATCTAAATCGTTCTTTAGCCAAACTTTATTGAAGATATCAACCCATTGATGATCAATATCAATAAATTTTATGCTAAAAAACCTTTTTGTACATAATCTCAAATGAGGTGATATTTTATTTCAATGTGCTTAGCTTTAAAATTTTGTATGAGATTTTTGGATAGATTAATAACATTAGTGTTATCATAGTATATAGGTATATTATGTTCAAGACTAGAATAATCTTCTAATTGATACTTCACCCATAGTAACTGTGAACAACAACTAGCAGTTGAGATGTATTCAATTTCTATCGTAGAAAGTGAAATGGCTTTCTACTTTATACTTGCCTAAGAAATGAGATAAGGACCAAAAAATGACATGCTCCATTTGTGGTTTTTTTTCCAACTACGACCTATTAAGTTTTTATTGGAAGAAAAATAGTTTATGTGAGATAAATGCTAAGAAATATATATTATGCATGCAAACATATTAGAAATACCTTGGAATTTTCTTAGAACATTATAAATTGATTTGATATTAATTTATAGTGTAAGTTCTGTTTTCTACCAATGGTGATAAATAATTATAAAAGTGGTATTTGTGGTTCATCATAAATCATGAGAAAATTATATGTGTGCATAATCACTACACGGAAAAGGATGAATTGCGACAGACAATTTGCGACAGCTATTGTGAAGCTGTCGTCGCTTTGATATTACAACAGTTCATACGATAGTTACTTGCAATTGCTGCAAAATATTTCAATATTGCGATAATTCATGCAAGGAAACCAAATAACTGCCACAAAATTTATTTATATTGAGGCAATTTGTAGTAAACGGTTGCAATCTACAAGGCAGAAAAAAAAATTCACACAAAGTCATGCACACTCCAAAATTCTATAATTTTACTTTCAATAGAAAAATAGAAAAGTAAAATAATAATGAAATGTAATTACATTTAGAAGTGTTGAAAAGGAAAAAAAATACTTTAATATACTATATTAATTTTATTTCTCTATCTTTTAAATTATTTTAGAATAAAAGAGTTTTATGTTAATCTTGAGAAACTAAAAATTTAAAAATATCTGTTACATTTTTTTATGTGTTAGTAAAATTAATAATGCATCTTAATTGTGGATTAAATCGAGAATATTGAACAACTAATAAATAATTTATGAAATTTATTATTTTAATGGTTAATTAAATATGACATATTTGATAAATTAAATTATCTTTTCATAAATATTAACTTAAAAATCACTTCTAGATTTTATTATATATATATATAATTTAAAATTTATTTTTAATACAGATTAAATATTATTTTATTCAAAAGTTACAATGAAATTTGATAAAAATTTAGGATTAAAAACATTTAATAGTAGACTAGACCAAAAGTAATCTTGTTTCTTTTGGAAGTATTATATTTTCTTAATAAACTTATATTTTATTAACAATTTTATATATACTTTCTTTAACATGAGACACAATTATTTTTTTTTCTTTCTATAATTTCAAAATTGTGACTAAAAATTATAAAGTTAGGAGTAATTATAAAATGTTATTAGTTTTTTGAAAGATTACAATTAAAAAAGAAGAAGAAATTGAAAATATTAAAATGTTAGTATGAGCACACAAAATAAATAAATCAAAATATAGCATTAATTTTTGTATGATGTCATTAATAAAAATAGTAGATATTTGATAAATTAAATAATTATTTCGTTAATATCACGTCAATTTTAAGGAGAATCGCCGTAATGTATGTTAAAATAATAATAATTTTTTTTTTACTTAAACCCTTTTGCTCAAATTGTTTCCTCAAACCCTTTTGTTGGGGAGTGATTAAAGGGCTTTTAGGGAGGGGTTCAGATTATGTTGTATTGTTCATTTTCTTTTGATTTTTTGATTTAGGGAAGGGTTTTTGATAAAGGGTTTGGAATTCGTCTTTCAATTGTTGCTGCTGAAAGACCGAGGCCGTGGGAATCAGTGGAAGGACTGAGGCGATGGGAATGTGAAGCTGCTGAAGCACTAGGTTAGCTTTTATTCTTTAGATAAGATTTATTTGAACAAACTCTCATCTCATGTGGACCAAAGTTTCATTAGAAATCTGGTTGAATATGCATAGAAAGAGAAGAGTTAAACTATGCCATTGTAGTATATTAATTTATGGATGTCAATTTGACCCTTGGTATTGTTTAGCTCTTACATTTAATTTTTAAGTATTATAATTAACAATGACAAGATATTTTTAGGTTCATCAAAAAGAAAAGAGAATAATAAAGTAAAGTCTCTGACAAGCAATGAGTATATAAAACTTGCTTTCATCTGTTTGTTAGAGCATCTCCAATGGGAGTTGTTTATAAGCAACTCCCAATTACTTTAAATGGGTCACACTGTGCCATGTCACTCTTAAGCAACTCATATTATATTTTTACAAGTTTTGCTCCAATGGAAATTGCTTATAAGTATCCATACTTTTTTACAACTCATACTACACTTTTTGACACCTCACACTACACTTTATTATAAATTTTAAAAAAATTAATGATTATAAATACTATATAAATATGAATAACAAATAAAAAAATTATAATAATAAAAAAAATAGCTTAATATATTCTATAATAAAAAATTAGACTATTTTATTTGAGAAAATATTTTCTATTTTTATCTTTAAAAATAATTTTTATTTTTAAATTTTTAGATTTAGAAAATTTATCTAGTTTGAGTTCTTGTTTTCTATTTAGAAAATAAAAATACTAAAAATGTGTTTGATTTAATTATTTTTTAATAAAATTTTACGAAATGCATTTTTTTATTATAAAATATAAAAAATAAAAATAGAAAATAAAATGTAAAAAATAAAAACAGAAAATAAAATATAAAAATAAAAAATAAACGTCTCGTTCCTTCTTTCTTCTCCCACCGCACTCTCTCTTCACTATCTCTTCTCCGACCGGCGCGCGGAGGTGGTCTAGGCGGAGGGGTCGCGCGCGGAGGGGCCGTGGGGGGTTATAGATGACGTGGTCGCACGCGGAGGGGTCAAGGGCGGAGGGGTTGCGGGGGGCGGGTATGGGTATATGGAGCCGCGAGCGCGGTGGTTCTGCCGCACGCGGTGGTTCTGGCGCTCGCGGTGGCACGCGGTGGTTGCGGTGGTGCTCGCGGTGGCACACGATGGTTGCGGTGGTGGTTCTAGCGCTCGCGGTGGCAAACGGTGGTTGCAGTGGTTCTGGCGCTCGCGGGGGTTGCGGTGGTTCTACCGCTCGCGGTGGTTGCGGTGGTTTTGTCGCTCGCGGTGGCACGCGGTGGTCGCCAGCTGGTCATGCGGTGTCCGTCGTGCAGTGGCGCGAAGGAGACGAAGATGAGGTGAGGTGAACACGTTTTTTTTAATTTTTTTTATTTTCTTAAATCTGACCCATATTCCACGTAGATTCCATTTAGCCAATCAGATTTCTCTCCTCGGTGCTAAGCAACGGACCTTGTAGAGGCAACATTGACAAATTTCTAAGCAACTCAAGTGCCACCTAGGATCACTCCACTCAGAATTTTTAATAAGCTCCGTTGCTTATTTTTAAGACACAGCACAAGCACCCTCCGCTGGAGGTGCTCTTAGATTGGAAAAGTTGTTTTATCAGATGATGATGGCATCTTCAGACACTACAAGAATGTATAATATTTTATGCTATAAAAATATTTTTTATTTGCGTTGGTTTACGCAAACACTAAACAATGATTTTTACTTTAAAATTTATTATAATATAGTTAAGTGTCGATTTAGTTGACACTATTATTTTTAAAATTTAAAATAGTAGCATGAAACTCATTACTTAATAAGTTTTATTTTAAAAATTAATTAATAAAAGGTTAGCGTTTGTGTAGCCGATGTTAAGAATGTAAAATAAAATAATATAACTAATATACAAGAACTCGAAAGTCACTAAAATCATAGTTTGAAGTCTTGCGGTCTACTAAAATGAAAGTCACTAAAATCGCGCATCCAAGTCTCGCGGTCTCACCATCTGAAAATTAGCTCTTGAACCCTAAGTTTTACCTCATGCCCCATTCTGCAGTCATTGAACCCTAAGGTGAGCCTCACACCTCTTTTCCAAAAGAAGTGAGCCTAGAGCAAGATGAGTTGAAATCCTACACTCACAACCTTCGTCACTCTTCCCAGAAACATTCATCGCTTCAGTTGTTCCTAATTGAGGCTCGAAGTCTTTTCATTGGACAAAATCCTATTATTTTCCCAAAACCCCGCGTTCAACAGAAAAAACATGTATCACTTTCTCTCTAATTTCCCAAAACCTTACTAGTTTCCCAAAACCCCTACCTGTTTGTTGAGTTGCTCCTATTTTTTTTGTTTTAATCTATGTTTTGGATTCTGAACTTTTTGGGTTTCATGGGGGACTGAAGGTTGGGGTCAAGGGATAAATGAATGGCCGACTCGATTTATATCTATAGATTGTAGAATTTTTTTTGCTTTCATTTTTTTGTTGTTGAGTGAGGGCATTACTAATTGTTTATTTAGATTTAAATGGGGAAGTTGCCATGTGTGGTTGAGTGGTTGAAACACATATTCATAAATGGGAGACATAGGTTGCATGGGTGGTATTTTGGATTCTAATATAAAATGAAAATGGGTAAAAATGTGAAGTTTTAAATGAAAATGAGTGAAGTTTGAATTTTAGAGTCTCAAGTTCAATCTCCCAAATAGGAAAATGGTAACGAGGATAAAAAGGTGTAATAAATTCTATATTTTTTATTTAAGCTTAGTTATGAGTATGTTTGTTCTAAAAAGCTATGGAAAGTATGTTTTATCTAGTTATTTTTATTATTTAAGTTTCTATGGATGAACTCTATATATTTTAAGTTGTCCAATCTCTGAACAATATGTGTTTTGTGAAAATTCTACCACCAATTATATTTAAATATTTGGATACATGGCTTTGTTAGATATCTAGCATGTAAACATCTATATGAATTAAGAAGACTGAACAATTTTAAAACACTAACTATTAGATATTTATTGATTTTGATTGAGAAGGCTATTTGGTGTATGAATTACTTCTTTTGTGCCTATATTAGATATCTGTTTAAGAAGGCTGAGCATTTTTGCTTGATAGATATAAATCGGTTAAAGGCTTATATTATGGTGCAATTTGTAGTGAAATTATTCAGTGTTCTAACTTATGAATTCTGATTTTTGAACATGTGTATAAATTAATAAAGTATAATTTTAGGAGTTACACAAATTCCCCTATTTTTTTTCATTCCTAATTCACCAAGTATGTGATGGACTAGAGTAATATCATTACATGGAGTCAAGGCTTTCTTTAATTGCTTGTTGCCCATGTTGTAGGTTGACACCAAGTTTATTAAAGCCATATCATTCAGGTAATGACATACATAATTTGTAGTCATATTTATGAAATGTGAAAGTATAAATAACTTTTCAATATGTATGCTAATTTCCTTTTAATAAGGATTGATTACCTATATCACAAACAAGTCTAAGGGTGCAAGATGCGTTTGCAATGATTGATAGTCCAACAAAGATAGTGATACAATGGAATAGACACAATCAACTAGTAGGTGATTCTTCTAGTTTGTTAGTAGGATTTTTAGGTCAAGTTGCATCCAACTTTGGCAACTTTCCTATAATGTATGAGAATTGGACATAGGTTCCTAAAGAATATTAAAATAATGTTTTTGTTAACACGATATAGGTATTACTTAAAGTTAAATGAAAATGATGTTTTATTTATTTTATGTATTTTGTGTCTAACATGATTGTTTATTTTGATTTTGAAGGCTAATTTTGTTGTTAATGATGAAAAACAAAAAGAATACATCTTTTAGAGCTTGGGAAAGAAATGGAAGGACAAACGATGTAGATTGTTTGATAAATATCATGATTGGGAAAAATTCATGGAGAAAAATATTCAGAATCACCCACCGCACATTCCCCAAGATCGTTGGGCTATTTTTGTGCATTACAGATGAAACACTAAAGCAATTGTAATAAAAATTTCATTTAAACTTTTTTTTACTTTGAATAATAATCATATTAACTTTGCTTATTATTGTCCTTATAGGATATTGCTAACAAAAATGCTACAAATCATGCAAAGCTAGTGATCCCCCACGTACTAGGCTCTATAACTCTTGCAAGGAAAAAAGATGAGTTAGTATATATGGTTCAATCTCTTATTTTAACTAGCTAATATGTTTATTGATAATTTGTATTTTTAATCATTACATCATGCTTATTGTTAGGAGTTGTTACATGGTTGAGAATTTAGTAGAGAAGAAATGTATCAAGTTTTTCATAAAAAGCCTGATGGAAATTTTGTTAATGAAGAAGTTAGAAAGTTACATGTAAAATTAATGTGTTATTTGAACTTTATTGTTATTTGAACTTCATTGTTATTGTGGCCTAGTATTGTTTAAATGCTATTATGTTTAATGTTATTTATAGGAAAAATTGCAAAATGAAATGCCAAATTGTTCTGAAAATGAAGCTTTTGAGAGAGTTTGTGGGAAAGAACATCTTGGCTATGTACAGTATGGGACTTGGAGTTAGGCCATCTCAAATCATTGAATCTTCTTCTCGTGCAACATCATCAACTACTTCCTTTGAGTCTAATGAAAAGATGAAACAAATGCAAGTTGAAATTGACTCACTCAAGGCTCAAGTTGTAGAAGTTGATGTCTTAAAGGAGCATATCACATTTCTTATGCAAAGTGTTAAGGGAAATGAGGTAAAGTAAATATTATTATGCTTTTTAAAATTTGAAAGCATAGAATGACCTGTATTGTTGTTGGTTGTATTTTGTTATGTTAATAAGAATCCTTGGATAATGGTTGCAATTTTTTCTACTTCATGGAAATGGTTAACTTATATTTATAAGAATTTTGAGTATTCTTATGTTTAATGGGTTACTAGTCAAAGGTACTGCATTCCTAGGAGGTCTATGGTGGATTGATTGAAGGCTTTGGAAATGTAAATCGGAATGGTCGGTGTAAGGGTGATGAAATGACTTATGCTGTTAATTTTTCTTTGCTTGCTGTTTGATGTTGCTTTGTGTTACAAATATGGTTGCTGTTAGGATTAAAAGCTAGTATTTGATGTCACTACAAGAAAAAGTCAATTTAGCCATCAAAATTACCGACCAATTTTTTTTCCGTCGCTAATAGCGACATAATTAGCGATCGAATCTGATTTGGTTGCAAATTTATTTAGTGACCGAATTTTTTAGAGGCCAATAATCGGTCGCTAAATCCGTCGCTAAAATAATAATTGTTGGTTAAAATAGAGACAAAACGGTTTTGGTCTCTAAAAAAATAAAAAATTATTATTTATAATAATTTTAGCGACCAAATTAATATCGATCGCTAAAAAAAATTATTATTTATAATAATTTTAGCGACCAAATTAAAATCAGTCGCTAAAACAATAAAAATATTATTATTTATAATAATTTTAGCGACCAAATTAAAATCGGTCGCTAAAAAAGTAAAAAAATATTATTATTTATAATAATTTTAGCGACCAAATTAAAATCTGTGACACCCTCTACCCCAACATATATATATATATATATAATAATAATAAAAAGAAATATCTTATTGGATAAAAAAAATATTTAAAATTGAAACGACAATTCCAATAATCATGTGAGTAGAGAATTCACATTCATGTACTTAATCCAAATAGCAAATAAAATGACAAAGAATAAAAATTGAATTTTCCGAAATATATACTTTAATAAAACATAAACAACATCATATTCTAATTCTATCTATATCCCGATGTCACATGTCCTATCATAGCAAAATCCCACATAGAAGCCTAAGCTCCATCGTCCACATCCTCAGCCTCATGCTGCTAATAGTCTCCTGTATATCAAACAAGAGAAACAACACAAATGAAGGGAGTGAGAAACATCTCACTCTGGCTCACGGTGTAGGAACGCACACCGGATAGCCAAACACAAACAATACAGTTACCTCATAGATCAATCAACAACAATAGCTTATCTAATCATCCAAGTCATACAAATAGTAATTTATCATCATTTAATAATAAGAATGCACATGCATGGACACGGACTACATATTATCATGCATGTGGCGCCAGTAAAACATCACATGGCATATTGCCGCTAGCAATACACGAAGAGTAGTCTAGGAGTACATGCCGGGTCACACCCTCTGCGCACTCTCACTAGAAGGATATACTACCAGAGTCTCGTCGGGATAGCTAAGCCGCGCAAGATACATCCTATGCACACAATGGACGAGACTGGGACTTCCTAACCGAGCTATCCCCAAGGACTAATCCCCAAAGCTTTTACACTAGGGGGCCTTCTCTGGCGGTGTATTCCATATCGTACCCTTAAAACATTTATGCAAATGATGCATGTCAATCAAGACTCTATGCATTCTCATATCACATTTTCATGTCTCATTCCCATATCACATTATCATGTCTCAACACATCTCATCGTCACATCTCCTCATTACATTTCATCATCACATTTGCATTATCACATCATATTCACAATTTTCACAAAGCACTTTAATTTATATTAAAACTCGTCTATTTGTAAAATTAAATACATATTTTTACTTCTCATCAAACAAGGAATATAACAGAACAATCAGAAATCAAAACAGAAAATATTAATATTTTGCCTATTTCTCATAGGGTTTCCCCGCAGGAACCCATAGAGCACTTTAAATCATATCAAAACATATTTATTCTCAAAATTAATCACATACTTATACATTACATTCAACAAGGATACAATAGAGCAATCAGATAGCAAAATAGAAAACATTCATATTCTGTCTGTTTCTCATAGGGTTTCCCATAGGAACCCATAGAGATCTCAAATCATACAATTAATTGCATATAAGAAAAATAATAAGCAAAACAGATACAATTGGGAGAAACCCCTCATACATGAGCATACGAAAAATACAACAAACACAAGATTGGGGGCCAATCCCACTACCCAGCATACAATCCCACACCCAGAGCGAGATTTCTCACTCCCCCCTTACCTCGATAAACAGGGGTTGAAATTAAAGCAGGATCTTCTCCTCCGAGTTCCCCTTGGTCTCCAGAAAGTGTAGAAGAAAAGGTTAAAAGTGAAAAAATGAGTTTTAGAGAGTGCAAAACGCTCTATTTATAGGCATTAGGCCATAGCCAGAACGGCCCGTTCCGAATCTGGAACGACCCGTTCTAGACACATAGAACATGTACAAAAGCCTTTCCCAGAACGGCCCGTTCCAAAAATAGAAAGGCCCGTTCTGAGTCAATAACTTGTTCTTTAAAACAACATCCGGAACGGCCCGTTCCCAAAGTGGAACGGCCCGTTTAAAGATTTTCACAAAAAAATTTATGTTGTATGCTTTTCACAATTATTTTTGAAGTTATCTAAAACGTGAACAATTAAAATCTACACAAGTCTAGACGAAACAAGGCAGCAAAGTAAACCAATTTATAATCAAACAACTTAAAAGAAGCAAGGAAAAGCAACTAGTCGGTTTTCCCTAAGTGGAAGCTTGAAACATATGAAATTTCCAAGCCACTTCCACTAGTACTACACGTGAGGAGGCTACCAAGGGTTAGATATACCTGACCAGCTTTTTAATACTCCCTCCAAGCTTTACAAATTGTTTTAAAATACAAGAGAATTTGCAAAAATTTAAACTACACTAGAAAACAAATAATGGCGGCTTTAGTGACCAAATTAGTGACGGATTTGTTGTCCAATTTTTCTAACACTTGTTTAAGTGTTCCAATCCGCCACTAAACCTTGAATTAAGTTGCTCCTGGACCCTGGACAATGAACACAACAAAATGGTTAATGTAGGCTGCTCACAAGGTTAAAGGAACGATCACTCTTGTGAAAGTAGTTTAGGAAAGTTTTGGTCACTAAATTAGGTCAAATTTTGTAGTCTTTTAGTGTCCAAATCTTTTCCTACTTTTTGTTGAGTCAATGTTTGATCCTTAAGCAAGGATTTGAGGCCACTTCCAGCACAGAATGTTTAGTCAAAGAAAACAAGACAAGCAACAAAAACACAATTTATAAAGCTTATACCAAATAGTGAAGAATAAAGTGTTTTTGACAAGACTCAAAGATATCCAACAAAGAAAGCTGAAAAATAAGACTCCAAAAAAGGCTAGCACTCAGTTAGGAAGGTTCCTAGATAGGCACTAGAGTAGATTAACAACACAAAATAATTTGGAAGCAATTGAATAAGAACAAACAAAATAGTAGTCCAAAGAATTTTGAGGAATCAAGTGTATTTTCTTGTTTTTTGCTCTTCTCGGCTTTTGCTTCTATAAATGCTTTTTATTTTTATTTTTTTTATTCTTTTCTTTTCCTGAATTCAAATTGATATTCCAGAGAAGACACTTGCCTTTTGTTTTCAAATTTTTCACAATTCCAAAGTATTAAAACCAAGACTACTAGATTGACAAATTTCAAGTGAAAATTGGATGAACTAGTGCACTAGTTTTTAGGTTTTTGATAGGATTCTTTTGTTCACTTTTTTTTGCATTGATGTGGACAATAAATGATTTTCCTGCCTATGGGATGTTGTCTGGGTGGAGTACTGCTGGAAAATATGCATGTCCAATATGCATGCATAAAACAAAAGCTTTTAGACTGAATAATGGATTTAAAATTTCTTGGTTTGATTGTCATCGTCAGTTTTTACCTCGCAATCATTCTTTCAGGAAACATAAGGATGCATTCTTCAAAAATAGAATTGAGAAAGATCACCCTCCTCCTAGGTTAAGTGGTGAACAAGTGTGGGAAATGGTTAATGACATTCCTAAGATAACTGAAGTGAGGATATGCAAAGTTCCAGGTCATGGAAGATCCCATAATTGGACCAAAAGAAGTATATTTTGGGACTTGCCATATTGGAAACACAATCTATTAAGACATAATCTCGATGTTATGCATATTGAAAAGAATGTCTTTGAAAATATTTTTCATACTGTTATGGACATTAAAAAGAAAACTAAAGATAATGAAAATGCATGACTGGACTTGGCATTGTATTGTAATAGAAAAGAGTTATTGTTGAAAGCAAACCCTAATGGGAAGTATGTAAAGCCTAAAGCCAAATTTTGTTTATCAACTAAGCAAAAAAGTGATGTGTGTGAATGGGTGAAGGGGTTGAAGATGCCAGATGGTTATGCTTCTAATATTGCTAGATGCGTGGATGTAAAATCTACAATTTTGATGAAAAGTCATGATTGTCATATTTTTATGGAATGTCTACTTCCAATAGCTCTAAGTGCTCTTCCTGAACCAATGTGGAAGCATTTGACTGAGGTTAGTCAATTCTTTAAAGACTTGTGTTCAACAATGTTATGTGAAGATCATTTATTGCAAATGGAACAAAATATTCCTATTATATTGTGTAAGTTGGAGCGCATATTTCCACCTGTATTCTTTCGGACACATCGAAATGAGAATGATCCAAAGATAGTATAAGTTGAGATTGTATAGTTGAGGATGACTTAAATAAATTAATTTGTGCTACCTATACTAACAACATGCATCTGCTTTTCGGTAACTTATCTCATCAGAACTCCATAGTTAAGCGTGCTTGACTTACAGTAATATAGGGATGGGTGACCTTCTGGGAAATTTCCCAAAATCTATGTAATTAAGGACAAAACATGCTGAAAAGTGAAGTATTGTGAAATAAAATCCTTGAGAGGCCAAATATGAGTGTTTCGTAGAGACCGAATTTGCGATGTCTATAAAATTTAATAAAATAAAAAATAAATCTTTAGCGACCAATTTAGCGACCGATTTATTCGGTCACTAATTTGGTCCCCACACACATTAGCGACCAAAATCATTGCAACCATTTTGCGACCGAAATTTTCGGTCGCTAAACAGAGCAAAAAAATTTTGGTCGCTATATATCTTTGCGACCCGGGTTTTTGCGACTACTTAAATTTGGTCGTTAAGGTAAATAGCGACCAATTTTAGCAATTTAGCGACCAATTTTGGTAGTCGCTAAATGCCATTTTTTTTGTAGTGT